AATACCTACTTGTCATGATCTGCATCAGGAATTACTGACATCGCTTTTGACAAATTTTCTAAAATGTATATATATTCTTTTAAAAAGTGTATTAAAATTAATCTCAAATAGGAACACAATCCATTTTACTTTTTTTAGACAAGAATTGTTTTCTTGAGCACAGGTATACGCATGTTAATAATTCACAGTGAAAATCCTTAAAAATAATAGCTTTAAAATACTGAGCTAAATAAAACCTTAATCAAGAGCTGCTTTTTTCTATAGCCAATGTGAAAGGCAGTTTAACAATTACAGCCCTTACATTTGTTTTGTAGAAGTCAAGTGTTAGGGAAGAGCATTCTGACAGAAGGGGTAACCAAACATACGTTTTGCCCATGTACCTTCTGTCAGTACAAATAAATAACAAGAAAACGGGTATTGAATATTTAAGAAACAGATTTGAGAGATGTGTATTTTCAGTTCAACAAGCTTACCTACTGAAAGTTCAGCCTTTACTTACACACAGCTCACAGATAAATCACTATTTTAAAACACCACCGGCTGTTTTCTGCCCCTACAAATCTTGTGGTGAACCATGGTGGCACTCTTTTAATTGGCAGTGCTCCACGGAAATGTCAGCGCTTTAGGGGATGTCCGGGACATACAGAAAGCAACTGGGGATGCATCTTGACCTGGGGACTCATTTTCAGCTGTATCCAAGCTGTGAGAACTTGTCAGTTAAGCAGAAACCCTCCAACCCCCTACTCGATTCAGTCATGAACAGTCACCAAATACCTCGTTTTGCACAAGAAGTCAGCAGAAGCAGGCAGGGCAAAATCCTGTCTTAGACACTGGCTCTTTTCCTGCCCTTCACACGTGCAAGGACTGGCTATCTGTGCCAACACCTGCAGTATCTATTAGTTCTGGTGCAGTAACTAAACACTTTTTTATTTCTCTCAAATACTGAGAAAACTGACTCCTGCTCCTCATCTTTTCCTAAACATCCATTCTGTGTGGAACAGACTCTAGGGACTGGATTCCTCACTAAGCAAAACCTGGAAACAGAGGTTATGCCTGTCAGTGTTCTCCTTTTGACTAAAGCAGTTCAAACGTACTGTCAGGATAACAGAACTTTAGTGCTGGAAACAATTGGTGGCTTTCCTCCCTCCCCGCTAATTTCCCACTGTGATTTGTAGGAGGACTTGGGACTGGCTTTTAGCAAATGGAACTTCTGCAGCTTATCAAGTCTTTTTCTCGTTAAGAGCTGCTTCTCTTACAGAAAGTAGCATTCTAACCTTCAGTGCCTCCATGCCAGCCTGGATAACAGGAGCGAAGATAGTCTCACTCTCGTTAGTGTCTGCAAACATCTCTGGAATCTGGTCCAACAAGCTACAAAAGATGAAAGGATCAGTGTCGCAACTGGTTATCGTATTTGGGATAATCCCCAAACATACTTGTAACATACCAAGTCTTCACACAGGCAGATGTTTTCCATGCAAATTTATATTTAAAAAAATTACAAATTTTGATTGCTCAATTTCTTAGGATTCCAGCCAGTATAAAACAAAATATGAGTTTTTAAATTCTATGAGATGCATTATTTCAAAGGAACACGCAATAAATAAAAAATAGCTAAAAATTAAGGAGTTCTGGTGTGCTGTAAGGACTTAAGAGTCCTTAGATCGCATCCAGGTGTGCATCATATACATCACAAAAGCAAAAACACAGCACACAGCCACAATCCTCCTCCCATTTTTGAAGAAGCACAGCTGAAGATGCATGGTTTACACCTGGCCTAAACGTGTTCAAATTCAGCACTGGAAGCTTGATATAACTCTTTCTTTGCCTCAGAGGTGGAAATAGATGACTTGAAGCATCTGCTGGCTTCTAAAGTATTGCGATAAATACATGTATCCCCAAAACCCAGTAACACAATTGACTAAAGGGTGTAATGCACATCATATGCATTCAGATCTTATTCACATATGGAATATTTATACTTTACTTGATAATGACAGATCGTGATTCCTGAAAGTTGACAAGGAAACCATCCAGCAAAGGAACAAAAACTTCTCCAACATCTGAGACCACCATCATCTGAGGCTGAGCTAAGCTGCTTTTTACATTAAAGAAGTGGAGGACCTTGTTATAAGTAACAAAACCAACTCGAATTGCTGAAGATTCTTCTTGCTCTTCTCTGTAAGAAAAGCAAAAACAACTGGTTATAATTCTGAAATTCTGACCTTGCAGTAAAAGCATTCCTTTGAAATGCAAGGCTGCTTTCAGATCATTATCTGTACTGGCAGCAACAAAGCAAACAACAAACAAGCAGATGTCTTTGCCTTAGGTCAACTTAAAACACCCCAATAAAATCAACTGCTGTACTATTTACTTTTTAAAAATATATATTTACGTCAACCCTATCAACTGTGCATCCCATCCAAGCAGTCAAAAGTCCCTAAGATAAAGAATAAACCACGCTGACCTCAAAACATGGAAAAAACAAAGAACAGGACAATTAGTCACAGGATACAAACAGAAAATCAGCTTTATTTAGGATACATTGTTATTCAGTGACACTAACAATTAATGCCTAGCAAGAATAGTAACTAGGCTTGACTAATGTCTGGTGACTTTGGCGAGTCAGTCTTCTCTTCAG